TGTTTTACTTACAAAAAGTTAGTTTTATTAAAATTCGAGTTTAAATACTGCATTAGTGATTTAAATCTAAAGTTTGAAGACCTGAACTTTAATGAACATTTATCAGGGAGAAGAAATACACTGAATCTGTCTAAAAAAGGCTGTTAAATCTGTAAAATTGTTTAGACAGAATTGTATCAATACTTCCACAAATATCAGGAAAAACTCATCTCCTAATCTGTTTAAAATTCATCCAAATCTCTGCAGTATAGTTAAATCCAGCACTACGTCTCTGAATCGGGTTTTTGAAAAATTGACCACAGACCCTGAACACACTGAAACTGACCACAGAACACGACGACAAACGAGTGGATTAAAATAAAGTTTATTTGACCAAACATTTGGGTAAACTCACTCGGCAGCCTCGGCTCCCTTCCGTCCTTCACCTCGCACGTTCCGAAACAGACTTTTTATAACCTCAAAGCTCGTAAATCATTTTGGCATTAACCTCTTCTTTAACTTTTAAGTTTGCATAATTACACTTTAAAAAAGGCCCACTTTAATAACTTTACGGACTGCAAGATTGAGGGGACACTTTAAAGACGTCAATAAACACGCTTACAAACGACAAATACACTCAAAAAAATAGCACATAATTAAAAAAGCATTCGCAGTGGTGGCAACCAAATCTTCCTTTTTTAAGTATTTCTTAATAGTTTTTAATCAATAAAAACTTGTAAATGAAGTCAGTGCCACTTAAAATGACTGAAGCTACAACATTGAGTTAGTTTCAACACTTTTGAGTTAAATGAACTTTTCTGGTTCTAAAGTGAAATCTAAACCTTAAAAATATTATAGTTTATTTAGTTTTATACTGAATACTTACTGTGTATACATTTTCTAACACCTTATAAGTCTTGTGACCCCTGTGAAGCTTTGGCGACCCCTAGTGGTGGTTTAATTTATATATATCTCTTTAACTAACTTTTAAAAACTCACCCGGTTCATTGACTCTGCTGGTAATTAAACAGAGATAAAGTGCTGATAGCGTGCAGCAGAGCCTCTTTATGCTTTTATAACCTTTAACCTTTTAACAGCTGCTTCCACAGAGCGTAAAACAAACAGCTCAGCCGCTGAACCGATGAAGTTGTTCCAGTTTCTGGAGGATCTGGAGACCCTGATCAGATCATCAGTCCTGGTTCTTGAGGGTTCTGGTTTATTTAGGAGACCAACATTGTCCAAACAATTTATTATCAATGTGCAGTTGAGCAGATTTGACTTTATTTTCAGTCCAGGAGAAACAAACCCACAGACTTCATCATGTATCACTGGAGCTGTTACTGTGAGCCAAGGAGGACCCCTAGTGGCCAACAGGTTGAACTACACACACATTTGTATAAACAAGCTTTTCACATCCCTTCTCGGTTGTTGTTGTTGTTGTTGTTGATGATGTTGAAACTGAACGGTTGTTGTTGGTGCAGACAGATAATCCTTAGTGCATAATGGTCACTATTCCTTTACATCTTCACTTCTAAGGGCACTTTAGCAAACACACACCATTTCCAGCCCGATATCAATAACTAACAGCAGCTACGACCTTTTTGAACAACTTCTCGATGCTTGTAAAATCTACTACGGAGCGCTGAAGTTGTTCTGGAGTGGCAATGATTAGTTGGCAACTATTTAATTGTTTGGCAACTATTTTGATAACCAATTAATCCTTCTAATTCTCTCATTTCAGCTTCTCAACTGTGAATCCTTTCTGGTTTCTTTAGTTCTCAGTGACAGTCAACTGAATATGTTTGGGTTGAGGACTTCACGTTGGGCTTTGGGAAACACTGAGCAACATTTGTCACTATTTTCTAACATTTTCTAGACCAAACAAGTCTAGAAAGTAGACTAGTTAGTATGTTAGTTCTCTGAGGCCCAACCCCTCATTAAGACGCTTAATTACAATTAACAATTAACACATCTAACCAATCCCTGTGAATTCTGTGCCACCTTGCATTTCTGTCCAATAACTGTAGTTTTCGATCAGCACGCGAAACTCACTTCTTTGTTTCTAGTTGTGAAGATTCAGACACATCCGCCCTCCAAACAGTGTAAGTTTAGAACAAGTTGCCTTCAATTTTTAATGAATTATACAAAAAGAAATCACCACTATTTTCCCCAAATTTCACTTTCTTCCCCCAATTTAATTTAAAACTTAAAAACATGCATCACAATCTTTCAGAAAAGCTGCTGTTAAATCCTGAAGGGTCTCTCTTTTGTTCTCCACGTGCACAAACAGAAACCAAATGTAAAAAACAGCATTGCTTTATTGTGTTTATACGTTTACTTCAAGGACAGGTGATATTAATGTGAAAAGCAGATTATTAAGGTGATTATAATTACCGTCATGTTGGTGGTGCAGTGACCACCGTCAGTATCTGAGGTGCTTTTGCGTTCTCTATTAAACAATAAATAATAACAAATTAAAAAAAAGAATTCATTACAAATGTACAGCCTTTATAAAGTACAGTCAGTAATATCACAAAATCCTATTACAGCAGTATTTGCAAAAAATGCCCTTTTATCACAAATAACATCAGTGAAGCCTTCATCGTCTCTCACACACACACACACACACACTCTTTCACACACACATTCACGCCCTGTTTAACCATCGTTTCATTCACACATGTGCACCGCTGCTGTTTGTGTTTTTTTTTTTGCAATTCAACAACAGAAAGGTGAAATTACAGCTCTTCCACCTTCCGCCAGCTCCTACAGTCGTTATACTGATTATAGAAGAAGAGGAAAGACATTCGGGGAGTATTAGTTTAATCGTTTGAATTCTAACCCTACGCAGCTGCAGACATCTCGGTATATAGTGTGTCGATACGTCCGGAGTATCGTTGAGAAGGTGGAGCAGACAGATATGTAAAGGTTGCTGTTACACTACGCAGCTGGAACCGGTCGAGCAGGCACTGATGCAGATATTTGGCTGAGACTTGAACGCACCACGTAAGACAGAACAGAGTGAAAAGCGTAAGCACAGAGTCAAAGTGTGTATAATACAGGATCTCATCGGGTTGTGGTTAAGAAACTTTTGGCATGCTTTACAGTTCTCTAATGTAAATTAAGAAAAACAAAAGTCTTTATGGAACACCGCGAACAAAATGATCGTTATTTAATCTTTTCCATGTTGCAGTGTTGCGTAGAAAGCAGGCTACACAGTGGGTCAGGCTCCTTCCTGCTCTTGCGGTGTAGTGTGTGTGTGTGTGTGTGTGTGTGTGTGTGTGTGTGTGTGCTGGCGTCGCAGTGTTAAACTGTCCTGTCGGCTCCCGAGCGCTTCCGCACCACCTTCTCCTCGCTCACCTGGTCCACCGCCAGCGTCTCCAGCTCCGCTTGCGGCGGAGCCAGAGGAGGGGTGCTGTGTGGGATGCGGTGCGCCACGCCCACGTGAGCCCTGTACTGACGGTCCCGAGCGGGGCTGTGGCGGGGGCTGGCCATGGCGCCCAGGGGAGTGACGGGGGAGCGCTCGGAGGCGATGGGAGGGATGACGGCGGGCCGTTCTCGCACTACCTGCGGTTCAGGAGAGTCTCTCCCAGCCTGCAGGAAGGGCGTGGGGTCGGGCATGGCGTCTACCGTCTCCCGCAGGACCAGCCGTCTGCCGTCCGGGCCGAGCCGATACACCTCCGTCAGCTCCGGGTGGAGAGGCTGGGAGAGGCTCTTCTTCATGCGGCGCCGAGGGGTTTCGGGCTGCCTGTCTTTGGACGGCGGGGGCGTGGGCTTGTACGAGGTGACCGGACTGACGTTGGGGCTGGCCTCGGACGAACTGCCCGCCAGCAGCTTCTTCTTGGTGGCGTGGAGCTGCGAGGTGAGGTAAGCGATGGTGCTCGCTCTCTGCTCCAGCTCCCCGGACAGAACAGCCAGCTTGTGGCTCTTCATCTTCAGCTCCTCCAGGTACTTCTTCTCCCGCTCCTTGATCGTGTTCTCCAGGACCGAGATCATGGCGTTCTTCTGCTCGAGGTCCCTGAGCAGCTCCGTGTTCTCCTCCTCCTTCTTCTTCAGCTGGGCCTCCAGCTCCTCGCACCTCCTCTGCAGCTCTCTGCATCGGGCCTCGCTGCTGTCTGCACACACACACACACACACACACAGGTTCAGGTTCATATCAAAGACAAGGTGTTCCTCTTTACAAGACAATCGTGGTACAACTTGATAAAAGTCCTCCAGCCTCTCCAAAAGTGAAGCCAAAAGCTCTCGACTGATCTTGTTCATTTAACTGATAAGTGTGGTTTGAATTAGTTAATTGAAGCTATTTCACATCATGATTGACAGCCCTGCTCCTGATTGGGTAGATACCGTGAAGTCGATCCGATCAATTCTCTAGGAGGAGTTTGTGTGCAAATTGACAAAAATGACCACTTAATTCAAAATGACCGACTTCCTGTTGTGTTGCTGGGTCTGTTTTGGGGGCGCTGTCGAGCAATTCTGCCACGCCCATATGTGACAATAAATGAGGTAGAAAATGCGTCTGTGCCACGTGGCTACAGCTCGTTCAGCTACTGCTTCATAAGAATACAAATAGTGAACAGCAAACAGAAGAGACCGAGAGAATAAACCTCCCCAGACCGGACCGATCATGAGTGCATTAGGCCGCAGACACTGACTGTGCAGACAGAGACAGTCTGAGCCAATGGAGACTCATCTGCAGAGAGCTCCAGTTTCACATTACAGCGCCGGTAGAACACTGCTCTCCTCTGACCTTCATCACCTTCATCACCTTCATCACCATCACTGCTGCTGCTGCTGCTGCCCCACCCACTGCACACACTGTGTTACTGTGTGTTAGCTACACGGTTGCCACTCTTTAAGACCTTTCAAGGATGAATTATTTCAAAATAAAGGGCCACAAATTCAGGCATATTAATATAAACCCAAATACAAAGTCTTTTTTTTGTATTCTGACTTATTATTAAATATTGAATCATTAAATTATGCAAATTAGGAAATAAATATGTGCTACGTTGCATATCCTGTGTGTGTGTGTATCTATAAGATAAGGGGGAAGAAGAAAGAAGATAAATGTGCTGAAAAACACAATTTCTGACAAATCTTTCACATGAAAAGCCTCAAAAAAGTAAATTTTATGATCTATCTTTGAGATGTATGTGTGTGTATGTATTCTACCTATAATGTTTGTTTCAGAGACAATAAATAAAATATAAAAATGTGTTTTTAATGCCACACTGTAAAGCACTTTGAGCTGCATTTCATGTATAAAAGATGCTACAAATCAAGTTATTCACATTATTATTATTACTACTGTTATTATTTCCAATCACCTATTACTTTATTATTACTATATTAAAAAAAGACTTGGCTCAGCACTCCAGATGTATAAAAATAGTATAATCGAAGCACTTAAAGAGATCTTTATAGCTCTGTAAATCCGAGCGCTTTCAAGTGGCGACGCTGTATGAATATTAATGTGTGTGTATCACAAAGTTTTCAAAGTCTCGTACATTTCCTAAACTCCTCTTATCAACCACAGCGAGGGTTAGAAAGATGATGTGCTTTCCTTTCATTTTCATGAAGTGGTGGCTGGTGGCTGGTGCCCCCCC